CCAGGGCCTGCAGGCCGGGCCACCGCGGAGGCTTGTCGGCGGGCGGCGCCAGGCCCCACAGCCCGAACCCCTTTTATTCTAGGGCTCTGCTTCTGGGGGGCGGTGGCTCTGTGTTTATTTTAGGATTCAGTGGTTAATAGTAAATAGAGACCAAATGAGTCAATGTTTACACGAGGCCAAACTGCACTTAATATTTTGTGCCGAGAGCCACGTGGCCAGCGTCTGGCCGCCCGCCCGCAGGAGCCAGGATGTCAGCACATCTGCAACGCCCTTAGTTTCACCGCACGCGGTGGGCTGTGCCCTGGCCGGGGAGACGCGGCCGGCGGCATCACCGAGGCGGGAAGTGGGCATCACTGACTGAGAAGTGGGGCCTGCGCCGGCCCGCTCTGTGCCGCTGGGCGGTGGGGCGCCGGCGCCCGGGCAGGGACGTCGCCTTGAGGTGAAGCGGGTCGGAGTCAAACGGGAGCCGAGCCTGCGCTCAGACGTGCATGAGAGAAGCAGGGGCCGAGGGGGGCCCTCGCGTGGCCACGCCAGCTGCCCACACCCATCTGTGAGGTCCAAGCCGCGCGGGTGGCGTGGGGAGACCTCAACGCGGTCATGAGGGCAAAGTGCCCTCGCTGGGGTTCTGCCCCCTGGATGAAAAGGCCCAGTGCCCGCTCCCCTCCCGCCGCGTGGGGCGCAGGGCAGACACTCACGGCCCCGCACCCCGATCTGGGACCTCTGGAACCTCCAGAAACACTGGCTGCCGTCGAGGCCGCCCAGCCCATGGCCTCTGCTGAGCAGCCTGATGGCCCAGCAGCCCCCGTGGGGCTCGCGCGGCCGAGGCCCCCGCCTCACCGTCCTTGTCCACAGAGAAGGGCACGTCCGGCGTGAGGATCTCGTAGCTGCAGATCTGGCTGAACTGCGGGGAGCAGTCTGCGTCCACGGCCTGCACGCGCAGGAGGCTGTCGGGCCGCCGGCCCTCCGCCGCCGCGGCCTCGTAGGCCTTCTCGCGGAACACCGGCGCGAACTCGTTCACGTCGTTCACCTGGATGTGCACGGTGGCCCTGCGGGGAGAGGCAGGCCAGCGTGCGGCCGGTGCCCGACGGTCCCTGTCCAGGCCCACCCGTGGGGAGGCTGGCGAGTCAGCCACAGGGCACCCAGGTCTGCAGACCCCGAGCCTTAGGGGCTCGAGGCAGAGAGCGAAAGGGTGTCGCCCAGAAATCGCGCTAGAAAGGGCGGGACTGCCCGGTGCGAGCCCGAGGGCGGGCCGGTGGGCGCAAAGGGGGCGGGACTGCCCGGTGCGAGCCCGAGGGCGGGCCGGTGGGCGCAGAAGCCCTTGCTGTGGTGGTGGCGATAATGCCGCGACCACGTACTTGGATAACTTTAAGGCTTTTTACTTAAAGAATGTCCATTTACAAAAAAAGAATGTCCACTTACGTTCATTTTAAAAATAAGTAGATTGCCTTTATCCTGACATTTTATGAAATTCAAATGATGGCGAGGAGGATGAAGCGATGGCCCACTTTTAGCCTAACATGGAGACCCCGAGAGGGACCTGGAATTTGAGCTGATTCTCCCTCGAACAAGGAAGGCAGCAGGCAGAAGTAGTGAGAGGAAATAAGAGGCGCCCGGTTCTCTCTGACAACATGGGCGGGGCAGGCAGAGGGGAGATGAACTATCCCAGACATCTGTTAGTTCTCTAATCATAAAGCCAAAAAAATACTGTGTTGCCAGTTCCAGAAAAAAAAATAAGAGCCTGACGAAGATGGGATAGGAAGGGGGGATGGCTCCCCAGATGCCCCGCATTACACAGGTCTGTCCCGCTCTACCGCGCAGACAGCAGTGGGTTCCCACACGGTTGCTTCAGAAGGACCTCAGGGTACCCTAACATCATAGGAAAAGGCTGAGGGTGACTCACTGGCACACAGCACCCCACTGTGTGCCACCGGACCTGGCGATGAGCTTCGGGGTCTTCTCATTATTCCCTGCCCCCCCCAAACCAGGATCCCGAGTGGAAACTGACGCATAACGGCACTAGCTTTGCCACCCACAGCCCCTAAGGACGACGCCTGGGAAAAGAATTACTTTGCTCAGCCAGGCTGCTGCAGTCCCGCCTGGCCCTGCGCCCTCCCGGGTGACCCGTGGGTCACAGCCACACGGGAGGGAGGAGGAAACACCACAGGCCCCGGCTGGCCCAACTCTCGGGGCCGAGGACTGAGAAAAGAGCCGAGACAACCCCATCTCTGCCTTGGGGAGAAGGGGCTTCCCCACCTCGGCAGTAAGGCGTCTGCTGCTTTAACCGTGTCTGGGGGGGCGACTCCTTTCTTTTCTCCCACCCCCAACACGCGCCAGGCGCTTGCTAGCCTCTGATCTCTGAGCTTAGGAAGGTCTCAGAGTGGGCTGTCAGCACCCACGTCCCGCCACATGTGCGCACCGAGGCCACGGCCACGGTTCAAGGCGCCCTGCCCGGCGTACTCACTTGTGGGACTTCTTGACGCTGGCGCCGTCGGGGCCCTTCCCGCAGTCGTAGGCCTGCAGGGTGAAGGTGTACTCTTTCTGCAGCTCACAGTCCAGCTTCTCTTTGGAGCGGATGACCCCTTCTCCGGTGGACTTGTCCACCACCACGGCCTCGAAGGGGACGTTCTGCCCGTGAATCGTAAATCCGCAGATCTCACCTGGGGAGCAAAGCGGCAGGTGAGGATTTCTGCCACGCGGGCCTCCGGCACGTCCCCTCCTCCCCCGCAAAAAAGAAATGACAACAGTTTGGCAGCCAGGGGTTCAGAGGGTCCGTGGACAAAGCGGGGGCGCTGTGCTTGAACAGGGTGAGTTCTGGGCTTTAGTAAGAAGAAGCGCGTTCTGGCTTTCCAAGCAACGTGTGTAGTAACTTTGCATCCACTCATGCAGGAATACAAAAGAGAGAGAGAGAAAGTATAGACAGGCATTTCACAGGAGTACTTCAGAGAACACCAGGGCAAAAGTGGTCTCTTTAGAAAACAGCCCAGGCCCGATAGCAGGGAGACACAGCCCGCAGCTGGGGGCGCCCGGGAGCTGTTTTGATTTGGACCAGAGAGAAGCTAGAGGCTCAGTCACGTGTGGAGAGAGGAAGCAGCGTGAGATATAGATTCAGCCCCAGAATTACAGGAATTCTGTCAAAACAAAATCACAAGGAACAAGTCTTCCTGTGCAATGAGCCTGGCTAAAATTCGGGAATCAAAACAAACTACTAAATGAGGGGAAGGTAGAAATACCAACTTTTCAGGCATCCATTTCAACAGCTGGCATCCACTAGTTTCCAGTGGGGGAGGGGCCCGCCCCCCCAACGCCCTTGTCTTCACTTTGACCTGTGGGCCCTGGGGAAGGACCTGCCTGGTAGCTCCGGCCCCCTGAGTGGGTTTGCTCAGCTTGTAAATTAAGTGTTCAAAATCTAGACTTCCAGTCCTGCCCGTGGGAGAACAAATATGTTCGATGGATGTGTAAAAGTCACAAAATGTATCTCGCATAAAAATGAGTCGCTTTCAAAATGACATCTAATGAAAGGCTGCTCCCCAGTGACTCTCTTACGTTCAATTAAAAAGGGTGCGGGATGCTCCCTCTAGTTCAAATGGATGTCTGATTCCAGATATTTCTAACCGAGGGTTTGGTTACATACAATTCCCATCAATATCTTTAAAAAAAAAAAAATAGAAACAATAAGTAGGAGGATAAACTGGGGTAAAAAAAAAAAAAAAGCATGACAGCTTCTCTGTGTAAGGGCTGATTCCCAATTTTATGAACAAAGTTAGTGGGTTAATATTCATAAGAGCGAGAGAAAGAACCCTTGATCACCTTCTTTGGTGACTGTCACCTCAAAACTCTCTAAAGGGAGAAAAGACAAACCCATGTCAGTAATGCAGGACAGAAAGGAAAGTGCACACATCACAGAAAGCTTGACTCGACTCAACCAGCACCCGGGGCCAGACACGGGATCACGGGAGCCCAGCTGGCCTCTGGGAACAAAACGTCTCTGCGTCCCTCTTACCACGCGATTCTGAAACCCCACGAAGCTGAAACCCCACGAATCCATGCATGCGATGCTGCCAGAATGCTTCAAGACCTCGGGTGTCCTTTGGACTTGTCATGAACACTTTGGGTGTAGAAGCAAACCTGCTCTTTAGAGGTTGGATTCCAGCATTCACCCATGGGTACATTTAAGGCAACAAATACTCCAGCAAAGGGCTTTAACCCTTTGTTCTTGAGACGACGAAATACAATGTTTCCTAGTCTAAAGTACCCAAGGGAGGCAGCAAACTAGAAACTTCAGGGGCCACCAGCTTCAGTGGCCAGTGCCTGAGTCCAGCCTCGGCCTGTCACCTCGCCCAGGGCCCTGGGGTCACGAGAACCCGCTGCCTCCTCCCACGCGCCAGGCACCTTCCCTCCGCAAAGGTAAAGCACTCCCGAGCCCCCTTGCTCCTCGACAGTCTGAACCCACCCCGTGAGCCACGGCCACGTCACGGGCTGGTTCTGGAGGGCTCGAGGGGATCAGACTACCCCCGTGGGTGACCTGTGTTCCACCAGCCCCACTGTGGGATCTGGTCACGCCTGCCGGCTGTTGTCACCACCGCAGAGCGAAGACCCAGTGAGCCTAGACCCCTGCGAGCTGCGCCCTCGCCTGGCACGAGGATAGTGCTTCCCAGACGCCGGGCATTGCTGCTTCCTGGGGTGTGAACACAGCAGCCGCTTCTCCGAGACCCCGGGGGGCCACCCGGAGCCGAGCACGTCCCGCGCCCCACAGACCAGGGTGGAGTCGGGTCTCTCGCCCGGCACTCAGTGACCGACGGCGGCACCAACCGTGAACCAGGACGGCGAGGACAGCACGGACAGCATCCAGCATAACGGTCTGCCTTGCTCTCAGACCCTCCCCGATGGAACCCCTGCGTGAACGCTGCCCCGGGTCGGGGACACCAGAAAGCAGAGGCACAGGTGAGGGCCGCTGCGGCCCTCAGGCTTCCACCGCTGGAGAGCACTGTCCCTGCCGCCCGCGGCCCCCAGGCGGCGTCCCCAGCGCAGTGCTGGCCAGCAGCTGGCGGCACTGGCCCCGGGGGCCGTTCAGATTAACATTCCTATTAAAATGGAGTAATGTCCAAAATCCTGTTCCTCGGCCCAAGGGCCGCATCCCAGCGGCTCATTGACCGCAGTGACCAGCAGCGAATGACTGGATACTGGACACCTACAAACTCCATCCACAGTCAACACCACGGGGCAGCCCTGCTCAGGGCCGGCACAGAGGTGCCCAATCCAGCCTGGCCAGTTTTCTGAGCAGTCCGAGTGCTAGAAGGGTTTATTTAATTAAATAAAAAAAACTTTGTTCTCAGCGCCCCATCAGTAAAGTCCGTTGGGAAGGAGACTGGCGAGGGTTTGCACTGCGAGGTCTGAGGTCACATCGGCCCTGCACAGTGGAAACCGGCTGCTCTAGAGCTGGGCCCAGATGTGTCCAGCTGTTGCCGAGACGCGCTCGGCCCTAACTCCCTGCACTGTGCCTCTACTGCCAGTTCACGACACATTTAAAACAAAGTGTCCCGCTTTAACTCAGAGGAAGCGTCTCCGTTCGAGGGAGAGAATGGTGGAGCAATTCCACATCATTTGAGCTGAGGGACCCGGCAGGGACCGTGTTGTCCTGTCCAGACCAAGGTCACCACACAGGTGGACATCACTGGGACGAGAGCCTGGCCTGTGGTGTGCTGCGCCAGGGGCTCGAGACTCTGCCAGGCAGTGCCCTTGAGCTGTGATGACCTTGAGACTGTGAGGAGTGGGGCTGTTTGCCAACAGGTGGAAACAACCTAAGTGTCTCTGAGAACCAGGCTGAGAGGAGGGAAAGAGCCCTGGGTGCAGGCGGCTCGGCACGGCCGCCTCACGCTGCGGGCATGGGGGTGGGGGAGGGGGGTCTGCGCCTGGGCAGAAGCCAGGGGCCACGGCACAGCGCCCCTGGGCGAGAGTCCGGGTGCAGTGCAGACGTGGCCCAACTGGCCTAGGTCAGGAAGGCCCAGCTTCGGCAGGCAAAGCGGAGGCTGCAGACAAGGTCGGAGGAGCCTGAAGCCACAAGAAGCCCAGCTTTTCCAGCAGGTGAGGAGGCACAGATTTCGGAGAGTTTTGAAAAGAAAGATAAGTAGACACAACCCATATTCCAAAAGCTCCATCTGGCAACTGTGCCTGAAAGACCCACAGGAGGCCGACTGTGGAGATGTGCCCGTGACGCTGAAGGCCAGGGCCAGGGAGGGGCACAGGGGTGATGAGATACAGGGAGCGCGTGAGAAGTGGCCAGAGTCGGGGTGTGTTCTGAACGCCAGCCAGCACTGTAGGGTACGTGAGAAACGGCCACGTGGCTGAGAAGGGAGACCGGGGGGACAGAGCCCCGACTTGGCTCCGAACACGAACCTGCCGCGAGGAACAGACAGAAGCAGCCCCCACGGCCTCATGGAGCCTCCCCCAGACTCCCCCCCTACCACAGCCCCCCAGTCCACGACCCTAAGCCGGGCACCCTGGCGTCTCCCAGCCAGCCCGGCGAGGCCACACACACAGGGCCCCATCTCCCCGTGTCCCCGAGAGCAGCTGGCTCTACCTGAGATAGTCCTTCCCCAACCCGCAGCCTTGTCCACCTCTTTGTTAATCAATGGCCTGTGCTTTGGGTGACCCCCTGCCATCCACGTGGGGTGCTGGCTGACTCACGGATTGACTGATAAAGTCACTGAGCTCTAAATTCGAGGGTTGCAATTTTTGGGGTTTTTTTTAAAAAGATTTATTTATGCATAAGAGCTGGGGTACAGGCCAGAGGTGCGGGGGCAGAGAGAGGCTGCACCAGAGACAGAGTGGGGGGCAGAACAGGCCAACTGGTGAAGTACACTGCTGAGGGGAGCAGCGGGCGGGTCAGGAGAGGTCTGCCGCGCCCTGTGGGCCATTTCCGGGGCAGGTGGGGATCGAACTCATGCTGCAGTGGCTTTGGCTTCTCAGTGCTGCGCTCTAACCCGCTGCGCCACCAGGGAGGCGCGTTACACCTTGTTCGGGAAGGCGTCTCAAAGGCGTGGTGAGCAAACAGGAGCATATGGATTACTGGAAACTCATCATGCCTTTTCCAGGATGCACCCCAGAAGTGTGGCCCCACTGACAATGAGAGCAGCAAAGAGGCGCATTTGTGTTCTTTCTGCTCGGCGCCCCCAAGGTGGCACATCTAAGTTGGCTCCTCGCACGGGTTGTGCCAGTAGGATCGGTGCCTCAAATCCACGGGCACCTGGTAAGGGGCCCTGAGGGCAGGCTGGTGCTTTTGCTTATGGAGACTTGAAAACCAGCCGCCAGATGGAAGCTGGGGCGGCAGGGCCGGCGGCCCTCGCTGGGCAGACCTCGCCAGGCCAACCTGGGTTTCCGGAGCAGCCGGTCACGTGCCCCAGCTGCCACCATGGCTGCCATCTGCAGAGGGGCCCGGGCACCTCTCACGCTCCTAAAGGGGGAGCAAGGACCGGCTGGGGCGAGGCTGGGCGAGGAGCAGTGACGGTGGCGGGCCGGTGCGGGCGCTGACGAGGTTAAGCTGAGGGGGCTTAGTGGCAGCGCTTGGGCGGCGTCTTCAGAGCAGACACAGGGCTCAGAAACCAGCTGCACACACGGAGGGATCTGGCATAACCATCTGGTGGCTGGTGGGGCCGTGTAGGGGCAGAGCGCCCGGTGGGGGCCTGGGGGGTGCTTCCCTCACCCCATAACTGCCAGCTCGCTGCTCTGCTGGGGAAGGGAAACGCCAGGCTTGCTGGCGAGGCACAGAGAGCGGCCGCGGGGCTGGCGGGCACACAGCCAACTCGATGGCAGGAGGCGAAGCTTTCCAGGTGCACCTCGATTTCGCCCCCAGAGACTGCCGGAGGAGGGGCGCGGAGGGGAGATGCCAACCTAAGGAGGCTGAGGCCATGAAGGGGAGATGCCAACCTAAGGAGGCTGAAGCCATGCAGGCATCGTGCCGGCTTTTCTAGCTTTGGCTGCTGCCCTGGTCTCACACAGCACTGCTGGGGGGCTCAGCCTGGCCCCACGGCCTCAGGGACCTCTCTGCCCCTCCCCCACCTGCCTCTCTCTCACCGTCCTCCCTCTCTCACCGTCCTCCCTCTCTCCCCTCTTTCTCCCCTCTCCTCCCTCTATCTCCTCTCCCCCCACCCCAACCCCTTATAAATCAGTCTCCTTCTTTTGCATTTCTCTGGGTCTGCATCTGGGCCTTGCCCTGTGTTCTTCAGCATTTCTACGAGGACTCACAACCCCATCACCCTCACTCCGCCTGTAATATTCTACTGTTTCTGGCCTCCCTGGTGGCACAGGGGGTTAAAGTGTCAGAGCTTCAAGCTATCACCCCCTACTGTGGCCTGAGTCCATGCGGCCAGGGAGGGACCCACAGTGCCCAGCAGACCTCTCCTGTCTCCCCACTGCCTCCCTCAGGAGTGGGTTGTGGTCAGTCTGCCTGTTCTGCTCCCCACTGCCACTGGGGAGTCCTCTCACCCCCACCCCGCCTGTACCCCAGCTCTTCCATGCAAAAATTTAAAAAAAAAGAAGAGACACCCGCTCAGCCGCAGGCACTACCGCCAGGCGCCCACTAACTGTGGACCCGACCCACTCCCTCTGCTTGGCCAAGCCGGCCAGCTGGATGTCCAGACGGCCCCTTACTTTTGGTGACCTTTGGCTTCTTCGCTGACTGGCCCTGATCAGCACCCTTGGGGGCCTGATCAGCGCCGCGCCGGTGGGTAAGGGAGTGGAGCCGCCAGCCCGGCTGCCCAGCCACGGCGCCTCCAAGGCCCCACTCACGGCCACGGGGCTCTCGCACCTCAGCCGAGGCGCGCGTTAGGGATGTGTTTTGCCAAGCCCCCTCCCTAGACATTCTGACTCAGCAGCTCTGGGGCGAGCCCAGGGATCGGGCCCTGGGGGTCTGCCAGGAGCCCCCGCATGCCGCAGAGGCCCCGGCTGCTTACAGGTCTCTGAGCGGCTACCGGGGAAGACTGGACGGCAGAGAGGAGGCAGGCGCTGGGGAGGGCGGCCACGTCGGGACGCGCCTTCGCCAGACACCGCCTTCGCGGGACGGGCCTTCGCGGGGACACCGCCTTCGCGGGACGCGCCTTCGCGGGGACACTGCCTTCGCGGGGAAGCGCCCCTTTGCGGAGACACCGCCTTCGTGGGATGCGCCTTCGCGGGGACACCGCCTTCGTGGGACGCGCCTTTGCGGGGACACCGCCTTCGCGGGGACGCGCCTTCGCGGGGACACCGCCTTCGCGGGACGCGCCTTCGCGGGACGCGCCCCTTTGCGGGGACTCCGCCTGCATGGGACAGCCAGTCTGGCAGCTCAGCCAGAGCTCCTGGCACCACGGGGCCACAGCCGACTCCTGCCCGCAGCCCCGGGGGCGCCCCAGGAGGGCGGGCAGACTAGCCAGCCCCCGCTGGATGCCTGGCCTGCCCCACTTCTGCTGCAGCCCCGCCCACCACCCAGGGGTGTGGCCCGCGTCACCCCACATTTGTGTGTTGTCCCTCCCTTGGGGCTGGACTGGAACAGGCCTCCAGTCCCACACTAACCTGCTCGGGGTGCTTTCCTGCCTCAATATCGGTGTTTAGCGGGGACCAACTTCTGCGCTGTTGCGTGTCCAGGAGACGAGCCCGCCGCCCGGCTGCGAGCCGCGGACCCACACCGGCGGGGGCCGACGGACGGACGAGCGAGCCCGAGTGCAGGCGCCGCCGAGACTGCGGCTCCGCTGAGATCACGTGTGTTTCTGACATTCGCGCTTGGGTCTGGTGTTTCCGACGCGGCACCGGCAAGCTCGCGGGACGTGGCCCAGCCCCCGGCCCCCGCGCCCCGCAGGCCAGCCCAGTCTGAGCTGGTTCTGCTCAGCTGCCAGCTGAGCTCCCTTCTCGCCGGAAATTTCTTCCCGGGCCTATGCGCGGCACAACTATTTAATCTTGTACAATATTTACGAGATTTCCTGTCTGGGAAGACAGGGAGGCTGGAATGAAAGCAGCCACTAAAGGGAAGAGCTTCAAGAAAAGGGGGGCGGTGCTCAGCCTCCCCACACGGCAGCGGTGGGGGTGACCGCCCAAGCCGCAGCAGGCGGCTTTGATTCCGCCTTTACTGTCGGGTAGACACAGGCGCGTCCTCTCCTTACCCACACGTGCTCATACTTTTAGCAGATTCAGGAAAAGGGGTTGAGAAGTCTCCTAAAATACTTGGCAGATACCAAAAAGCTGTCTCTGTCCCCCCCCCCACCCCCCCCCCACACGCACACAACTGAGTGACCCAAAGCAGAGACATCAGCTGCTCTGGACCAGGGATATAGCCTGGGGTTGTCTCAGCACTATGAAGGACTGGCAGCCATGGCTGCCTGAATTCCATCCCCAGCCAGGGAGGGACCCCCAGGGCGCAGCGGACCTCTCCTGTCTCCCCGCTGCTCCCCTCAGCAGTGGGTTTCAGTGGACCCACCTGTTCTGCTCCCTACTCTGTCTCTGGGAAATCTTCTCACCCCCGCACCTCTGGCCTGTACCCCAGCTCTTGTGTGCATAAATTTTTAAAATGTTAAATAAATAAAAACAAAACGGAGGCATGCTGGCCTCAGAGGGCGGGGGAGGGTCACCTACAAACTCCCCTTTGCAAAGCACGGGGAAGGTCCCTGAGACACGGGAAGGGGGGGCGCCGTGGCCTGTGCCTACAATTCATAACTCGGTGGTACTGGGCAGGCAGGGGACCCCACGGCGCTGATACTGACTAAAGGGAGAAAGGTGGAAAGACAGAGCTCGGGGCTACGGTCACTTCTTAAGGGTGCAGGATGTCAGCAGGCGAAAGGCCACCCCAAAACAGAAGGCCGCCAACCCCGCTGGGAATGAACACAGCCTGAACGTCACACCCGGGGCGGCCAGGGTGTGAGCGTGACTGCGCGGAGACCAACTTCTGCACTCAAGGGTCTACGTGCAGTGCTCACAGTGATTTCAGTAGGGTTCAGCAGGATGGGGGTCCTGGTGGGGTCAAAAAAATCACCGCAGCTAGCAGACAAGCACGGGTGTGCACCACAGCGCAGAGCCGCTCCACTGCCGTCTGACTGTTTCTAAGATCCGATGAGCCGGGACAACCAAGAGGAGAGGCCAGCTCTCGGGTGCTTTCCCGAAACGGGGTGCGGCGGCGAAGCAGTGCGGCAGCCTGCCCAGAAAGGGCCCTTCGACAGCCCCACCCCGCCCCACGGTGACTGCAGTCCAACTGCGGGAGCCATTGTCCTGACCGGCCCCTACGCAAACAGACACATTCTTGCAGGGAAGGGACTTTGTTCTGGGAAAAAAACCCATACGGAAACTACTCACGGAAAATGCCCTTCAGTGTCAGTTCTGATGCTGAGACAAGGAGGGGAGAGCAGCACCCCCACCTGTTAGGGAAGCCGCTCGCTCGGCTTGGACGGGACGGGAAGCCGGGACAGTTCCGAGTGGGGAGGCGCTGAGATCAGCAAGGCCCACACAGGCCGGGGCTCCCTGCCAGGCCGGGGCTCCCTGCCGCGCCGGGGCCAGCCAGGGGGTGCGCGAGTTAAACGCATATTAGGCGTAAAATACAGAGACTCCTCTGGAAAGACTGCTCGGCTTTCCCGAGTCTTTTGTGGGAACAGAAACCGAGGCACCCAGGGAAGCCTCTGGCTGCATTCGCTGCCTGCGGGGGCCAGCAGCATCAGAACAGGGGTCCTGCACCCGTCACCCCCCCATCTGCCCATGACGTGGCCACGGGGCCCTGGAGTCTGCAGCCTGGTCTGGCTGCCTCTCTGGTGACACCGAGGCAAGGCAGAGGAACTGCAATGAAATATTCTCTTTTGAGCAAGCAGAGACGTTTTCCTTTTTTTAGGGGGCAAGTACCCCAACAATTAAAATCAAAAGGAAAAAAGGTGCTAAAGGGAGCCCACTACCGAGACACTTTCAGAAAGGCTCAGAAACAGCCCACACGACGCGTGACAACCCGCACCCGGCCCGCCCGGCCCCACCGGGGCAGGTGACCCCCCTACCTGCAAAGCGCAGGGGTGCGTCCTTGTCCAGGGCGATGAGCGGAGGGTCCAGCAGCACCGTGTTGTCATTCTCGGTGACGATGCCGTGATAGGTGGGCTCCAGCCACGGCTTGTGCTTGTTCGCTGTGTGGACACCGAGAGAGAAGAGGGACAGGCACAGGTCAGATTCCTCCAACTCGGACGCCGGGCGGCCGTGCAAACAGGAAAATGGGTCCGTCTTTCACACCACAAACCCAAGTTCGGTCAGACTGGATGGGCGGCTTGGATATAAGACCTGAAACCATGAAGTCCTTCAAGGAAAAAGGCGGGGGACCGGTCTCTGGCTCATTGGCCCGCAGGCGAAGGGTGTACCCAACTGTGCCGCCCGCCTCTGTCCAGGTGGCTCTGACTTGGCCACACAGCCGCGGGGGGTCAGACGTGAGCTGCAGCGGGCAGCCGTGTTCAAGAACGTCGTCCAAAACGCCATACATACTTCCCTTCACAGCACACACACGGCCTCCCGGTGGCTCAGCGGGTTAAAGTTTCAGCACTGGGAAGCTGTCCGCAGCCCCTGCAGCACGGGTTCGATCCCTGGCCTGTGAGGGACCCCCAGGGCGCAGCAGCCCTCTCCTGTCTCCCCGCTGCTCCCCTCAGCACTGGATTTCAGTAGCTCTACCTGTTCTGCTCCCCACTCTGACTCTGGTGAATCTTCTTACCCCCCCGCACTCTGGCCTGTACCCCAGTTCTTGTGTGCATAAAGCATATATTAAGCTTTACATATATATCAGCCTTTTTTTTTTCTTTTAAAGATTTGTTTATTTATGCATACAGAACTGGGGTACAAGCAAGAGGTACAGGGGCGGTGAGCGGTTTCACCAGAGACAGAGTGGGGGGTAGAACAGGCCGACTGACGAAGTGCACTGCTGAGGAGAGCAGCAGGGAGACAGGAGAGGTCTGCCGCGCCCTGGGGGTCACCTCCCGGCCCTGGATAGAACTTGCACTGAAGGGGCTGCAGCTGGCTTGCAGTGCTGCGCCCTAACCCGTTGGGCCACTAGGGGGAGGCCCTAAAAATAAAAATATTTTATCCTAACTGGTTTTCATATTTTAGGTCTTACTCATAAAACTATCAACAAAACAAGACCAAAGATTCTGACAAAATTTAAATGCTGAGAACTCCTGCGAGCTAAACTAAGTGAATTTATTAATCCAACAGGGATGTAAAAATACCAGGCAGAGCAAACAGCAGCCTGCCAGTGGCGGGGAGCGGCACAAAATGGGTTTCTGTTACCCCAACAGAAAGGCCTGCAGCTGAAAATGGCTAACGGTTCAAGAAGAAAAAAATAAACCCACAGCTGTGTTGCCAGTCCTTAAACTTCCCCCTCCCCAGCATGCTAATTCTAGAATTCAAAATTTCTAAAACGCTCCCTTCAGCGGACAGCAGAATGAAGAGCCCCGGCCAGCTCCAAAGACGTGAACTTTTAAATATTTAATAAATGATATTTTTAATATTTCATCATACTCAATTTGCATTATAAAAGATTCATAGAAACAAGTGACTGCTGTTTCTGAAATCATCCCCCAAATTACAGATCAAAAAAGGGGGCTGCCAGCCAGCTCAGACCCTGCCCGGTTCATTTCACCCACGCGGGGGTCTGAGCCGGCGCCCTAATGAAGGCCGCTAAGAGCAAGGCTGCCGGCCGCCAGCCCTCAGGGCAGGGGCTGTGTCGGGGTACACACCTAGTACTTTGGGGTTGCTGTGGGGTTCGGTCACCAGACGCCACCAATTTCAACTCAGGATGAAAAGAGCGGTCGGCTCAGGGTTAACTTTCCACAGAAAACCTCCGGATCCCTGGCGCCATCCAGCTCTGCGGACCTCTGCAGGTCACCGCGCCACGTGGCCTGGACACCAGCTTCCATCCTGATTGACTCACTCATAAGGATAGTCCACTGCTTACAAAACAGACACACCCCTTCTAATTGCAGAATACCTCGGTTAGTTGTGTTGACCCAATAATTATATAATAAAAAACGACAGCAGAGCGTCCTAAGAGACTGTAATTTCTAGGTAAACCCTGCATGTGGCTTGCAGGTTCCAGCTAGCCTCGGTCCAGCAAAGGCGGCGCAGTTACAGGACACCGCCACTAGGTGGCGGGAGGCGCTCTGGGGGCGCGGGGAAAGGGCTGGGATTTCACTGGAAACCCTTCCTCAGAAGCGGGGTGAATCCCCGGCAGGCCCTGGGGTACAGCTGATGCGCATAGCAACGTGTCACCCACTACTGCAGCAGAGAAGCTCTGGCTCATTTTTTTTTTCTCTTAGAGATCATTTGGAGTAAATAAAATACTTGTGTTATTTCAAAACCCTCACAGCTCTCGGGGCTGACCCTGTTCATAATTTCTTCGGTCACCCCGGACTATCTCGGGCCCTTCAGAGGAGCTGGGTGTTGATGGGTCTCTCTGCCTCCCTTGCCCTCTGGCTGCTTAGTTCCACAAGCCCTCCCTGCTCCTCACGGTACACGGGGCGGGCAGAGCCTCAAACCCCAGTGCCTGAGACACAGCAGGGCCCGGGCCCCCCCAAAGTGACGGGCCGTAGTGGAGTGTGGCTAAAGGGGGGCAGAAGGTGGGGTTCGAGACTGGACCTGCATCTGCAGGGACCAGCAAGGCGCGGCCACTCAGCGAGGCCACCCCCGCAGGGGCCGGGGTCGCCACCTGCTCCTGATCCCGCTCACACTGACCATGGGGAAGTGTCCCGAAGCACAAAGCAGTCACCCTTTCGGGGAGTCATTTAAGCAGATCAGGTGCCGGTGCACACAGAGAACAAAGCAGAAAGGCACGTGACTCACACCGAAAGGGGAGTCGCACAGGGATGTGGGGGGTCGTGCTGGAGACGGGGCTGAACCCCGGGGGGGCGGGTGAATGAATTAATCAGGCTCTTTAGGCCACTGGCCCCTGTGGCCATCACCTGTGGCTTGACCGTTTAAGGGAGCGCGGACGCGGGGCAGGCGGGCCTGATGGGGGACACCTGGGCACGCGCATGCGCAGGCGCGGAGGCGCACACCTGCGCCCCGAGGTCAGGGGCATAAAGCCGCGTCACTCAGAGCCGAAGCGGGATGCGATGGGAAGGCGATGCGATGGGAAGGCGCCAGAGGGGACAGGCAGCGCGACCGGAAGAAGAGGCCGCGCAAGAACGCCTGGACGCGGGCAGGTTTGTGGGGGTCGGGACGCTGGCTGGCTGCGCGCCCGCCCGCCCGCCGGTGCGCCTGGTTCCTCGAGAGAGCACCGGGGGCTGGAAAACCCACGGAGGGCTCCGGGGCTCCTTGCCCGTCCCACAGGGTCTGCGCACCCTGATTCTGAGCGGCACTACCGAGCTCCCTCCACTCCTTCAGCTGCAAGACGCTGGGAAAAGCTTCAAACAGTGGGGTCTGGTAGGAAAAGCAGGAGCCAGGCCGGACGGACTGCACTCCGAGCCCCACTCTAACTGGGGGCAAGCTGTGAGCACCGCGCAGCGCCTGCGACCCCGCAAGGAGGCCACCGCTGCGTGAGAAACTTAGGGTGCCCCCCCCCCGCCGTGCCTGCCCCTTTCTCGGCAAAGGGCCGGTGCCACCTTGTAGCAGGAACTCGGCACTGGGAAGGGGGCGGCCCGCGGGGCCCCATCTCGCCCTCATCTTCCCAAACAACCTGCAGTAAAGGCCTCCGGCGGCCTCTGACCCTGTAGAGACCTGATTTCACCTCTTCGGTGTCTAGAGAGGGGAGGGAGTGGTGAGGGGTCGCTGCTGAGCTTGCAGCAAATGCAGACAAGACACCCAGGCGCGTCCTAAGGAGGAAACTGTTGCCGGTCCCCTTCCAGCTGACCTTACTCGAGCAAGCCCCCCACCCCCAGCGGTTCCGGTCAGACCCATCTCCCCCGGCCTGCGCAAGTCACCTTTGAATGGCTCAATTTTAACAGCGACACCGACAGAGAACCTGTAGGCAGGTGGGGCCTAGGGGCCCCTTCCTGGCCGGGTAATCTGAGGGGGGGAGGCCTACAGAAAGGGGCGTGTCCTGCTAGGGGTCCCGGCCAGCGCTGTGAGGCTTGGGCTGTCCGCGCAGCGCCACCAGACCGGAGGGCCCCGCCCCAGGTGAGCAGGCCCGGGCTGTCTCCGGGTGTTCCCAAGACACCCCACGAGCAGCGCTCTGCCCAGCTCCTTTGAGAAGCACTGACTCAGATGCACCTCTTCAGGGAAAACTTAGATTTTCCTCATTAAAATCATTATAAACTTCAACAACTGCGGATGCTAATTTGCGTGTCACATCCATGCGAAGTTCCTTTTAAAAATCACTTAAAAGCACGTTTCACTGTGAAGAGAATCCTTAAGCAAACAAGCCACCTTTTTCCCGCAGTACAACGAAAGGGTTCATCTCTGCACGCACACACACCCCCGCCGCGCCCCGCTGCAAAGGCCCGGGGGCCCTACAAGAAGGGGGAGAAGGGCCCCTGGAGAGGCTTGCCCGGGGGTCCTGTGAGCGCAGTGGTGGGGAGCCCCGCCAGGGGTCCGCCGCAGGTGCGGGCAGAGACCGGCGCCCCGGCGCGGCAGGAGGCAAGGACTGGGAGTACCTCAGCTGCAGGGCTGAGGAGGAACACCACCGGTCCAGGCCTGTGCAGCACTGGGCGGGTGCATCCGTGTTCCCGGGCAGGGGCGAAGATAAGGACGGGCACCGGGCAGAGAAGCGTCCAGGGGCTTTTCTCCCATCCTCCCTCCCCTCTGGACTGAGCCCTGGACATTCTTCTGGGTGCTGGAGAAATAGCAGTGAATAAACAGACCCTGCTCGCCTAGAGCTCACGTCATGGTTGAAATAATTTTAGGGAGCAGTCACACTTTCTAGAATGCCAACTTTTCAAGCTAGGAGGGGCCTTCTTATTACTCTAACATTTTTTAAAATGTGGCAAAATATACAACATAAAATTGACCATTTTAATTATGTTTACATGTAGTTTTTTTCCTTTTATTTATGCATACAAGAACTGGGGTACAGGCCAGAGGTATGGGGTAGAGAGAGGATTCCCCAGAGACAAGAACTGGGGTACAGGCCAGAGAGTGAGAGGATTCCCCAGAGACAGAGTGGGGAGCAGAATAGGCAGACAAATGGGAATACACTGCTGAGGGGAGC